AACTCAGGCTGGAACGCACCAGGCGAGCCGGTGCGATCATGCGTTTTTGCATCAAACTTTGAGGTATTTCATCAAATTTCCGTTCCCTTGCCCCACCCCCTCCACTCGCTGTTTCCTTCCCTCCCCGTTCCCGCACCCCGCCCTGGACGTCCAACTCCTCCAAGCGGTGATACTGTGCTGCATTATACAGCACAATTACAAAGCGGATTCTGTGCGTACGGTATGATGAGATATGTGTGGTTCACAGCCTACCGCTGAGCGGTCTAACGCTGCTCAGTGGTGGCAGCGTGGGTGGATGCTGGTGGTTGGAGTAGGACTGCTTTTGGTCGGCGTTGCGGGAGAGGGGGGAGGGGGGAGTGCTGGGGAGGTGTTCGGTGTTGGGGGCCGGTCGGTGATGGTGGGCGGTCGGTGTTGGAGGGTGGCCGGTGTTGGGGACGCTCGGTGTTGGGTGGAGCGGGAGGGAGGAGGTCGGCGTTCTTTCGATTCTCGTTTGTGTTTGGCACTTGCAGATGTTGGGGGAGGGGGCGCCTTCTGCGGTTGCTCTGGGAGAGGGATACCGTAGTGTTTTGTGCGGGATAGGAACGGCGGTGTCCCCCTTAGAACAGCCATGGTACCCGCCTCCTAAGAACAGCTGCGTAATCCACATCTCGGAACAGCTACGGGAAAACGCCTGCCTGAGGGGGCTCAGGTAGCAACTGTTTTACTATAGAAAACTGATTTTGCCGGTTTTAGCAGTTGTTTTACCGGTTTTTTGCCTAAAGTCCGCTCGTTTTTTCGGTAAATGTTCGTTTTGTGAAAGAATGGCAAATTTTTTGAAATACAAATTTCCAGTTCACTAAAAAGTAGAAGTATTGCTCGGGCAGTCATTTCCAAAAAATCTGAGTTCATTTACATATATGATTGTGGTTAAGATCCGAGGTGCGAACGAATTTTTGAAACTATGCAAATTTTTAGTTCATTGAAAAATTGAAAGTATTGCTCGAACGGTCGTTTTTCAAAAAATCCACGTTCATTTGCAAACAGTTGCGGTTCGGGTCCGAGTTGCTAGAAATGCACGTTCATTTGCATATGCAATTGCGGTTCAGGTCCGAGTTGTCAAAAATTCTTGGGTTCAGGAGCTGCTTGAGGCTGTGGTTGGGGAGCTAGAGGGCTAAGTTTAAAACTTTTATCTCGCACGTGCATAGAGAATATCCCTGCAGTTTCAGCCTTCTGCGTTGCCTGGTTCGCGAAATCATTTCCCACCAACAAATTTCTTTGGGGGTCCCGTGTGCGGGGTTTAGGCGGGTATGGGGGAAGATCTTAAAACGAGAGGATAACACGCGGGGTAGGAACATATGTCCGAAGTTTCAGCCTCCCAGCTTTCCTGGTTGCTGAGATGAAAGTGGGTGACAAAATGTACTGGCTTTCCGAACACACACACAGACAGCCTCTCGACAATATGAGTTTTCGCTGGCTGTAGCAGCGCTATAGCACAGTAAAAACGCATCAAAAAGTTTA